TTATTGTATCCACCATCACTTAGCGATGATCAGAAGGTGAGGTCGGGTCAACCCGAACGTCAACCACCATTCTTTCATTACTAGTGAAGAAGAGATGGTGGATATTGTGTTTCCTTGTCGACAGCCGCACTTGGTGACTGAGCAAGTGTTCCGCAGCAAACTTCACTAGTGTGGGCTTATTGACTTCTGTCGCGGTCATCGATCTCTAAGCCGCCAGGGCTTGTTCAATGGATACGTGGGAGACTTAAGTTCCCCCCAAATATCAACCTGGGGGCTGGATCACCTAGTTCAGCCACCCTGGTCTCTATTTCCTTAAGGGTTTTGTTAAAATTTTACGGTGGATGCCTATTTCAGCCAACTCCGAACATGGTGAAATACTGAAACTCAGTGTATCCCAAGGTGCGGGGCGCCCCACCACATATTTTTAATATATGATTTCATTTACATAGAAAGTAATCACTGTAACGTTAAACAAAACAACAAGTTTTAAAGCACATTGCGAAGATCGAACTGCTGTCGTCGAAGCGCGGTTCCCTGTCTGTAGGCTGGTATCTTAGATTGAATGGAACTTTGTTTTGGCGGACGAAATGCACTATATTTCTTCCGTTACCTTTAATGCAGTTATAGGGATAGCAGACATTAATGTTGCTGGCACCAATTAAATTGTAAATTAGCAGATAGCAGATAGGCATATAATATATACAGCAGCATCCAACGCAACTATGTAAAAAAACACGGGTATCCTGGTTGATTTCCTTGGGTATCGGTACCAATACTCTAATAATGATCCCGTTTTGAATTTTCACCACCACGTGCACATAACGACAGCAATTAAGTTTTTAAAATGGTTCTAGAACATACACACAATTGCACTTCAATTCCTCATCTTGAACGTTGTTCACCGTTGTCATAAATTCTTATACAAACTGGTAGGAGTCAGCTAGCAGTTCAATTAGGTTTGAATTTTATTCCTCAATATTTTCGTGCTATAATTGACGAAGAATGAAATACACAAAAATTGAGAAATGAGCAGAAAATCATGAAAGCCTATGTCATGTAAGAGTTGAAGTAATTTCGGACTGATATTTTCGAAATAATGTTGGAGAATTGTCAATAAGTTGTGAACACCTTCCGCATTGCCAAAATTAGTAGTCGTGAGAGCAAGGTCGCTGTTAGTGGTGTAGTAAATGATTCCACCACGTATTTTGAGCTTAATGAAGTAACGAAAAAAATATGTTAATTCCAGTAGAGAAAATTTAGGCCGGACTGGCCACATTGTTCTCTCAATGGATTTTTGATGAAAATAGTCTGTCCCAATATGATATATATGATGAAAGCCTTATCACCAAGAATTGAAAGCGAAGGAAACGTCAAGATAATTCAACGTATTTTTATTGAAAATATTTCGGAGACTATTTCGTGAAAGTACTCCTCTGAGTGTGAATTAAGATAAGGCTTGGAAAGTGGCCGAATTCGTTCGAACCTGCCACATGCTATCCAAGTAGACTAATGCTATAGATACGTATGACGACAGCCTGTTTGTTGTACAACTCACTGTCCAATGTCACTGCACCCAGATTCACAAATACATGATTGTCTCACGGCTTGAGTTCTAGTTTTTTCTGCTCGAAATTTTAGAACAACAATAAGCTGAAGGTAACACATGTAATCGAGTTCCAGCGTCCGCTCACAAGTCTTGCAGTGTCAGTCGTACAGGCTGAAACGCTTTCTAGGTGCCATAAAGTTCAACACGCTAGACGCGTTTCACATTTGTTTTTCGGCGTCTCGATATTCTATTTATAAGTCGCTAATTCGTGCGCTAGAGTCTATACGACTTCAAAGAGCCTTTCAACCAGAAGCTGCGCAAAGCATGAAGGGGTTGGTGGTGGACTACTGATCGAAGATTCTCAAAGTAAAAATTGATAAGACCATGATATACACATAATTTTATTCTATTTAATTCCACGTTTTTCATCGGTCCACGCGCTAACTCGATGTCAATATAACATCTTCTCTTGCTTCAAGAAGGCTTATTAATTTATGATTTTTGTGGCTCAATTGAGCTATTTGAAATGTCCTTTTTGTTAATGGCTTAGCTCGACGTAAATAATCATCTCCGAGACATTTAGATTCCAAAGGTCAAGATGAACAGGTATGTTTACGCAATTAGTGCCGACTTCTAAACGACGTAATTCTGTCGAGCAATTTTTTAAACCACTATCACAAACGATAGTACAAAAACTGTCCTCATAAATGCAAGAAAAACAATTTTAAATAAAATAAATCTTAGGTTGGTTAAGTGTCTTTTACTAGATGATAAATTTAACTAAAAAGGGTTTTTATTTTTTAAGGGGCATTTAATTGCGCGGGTTATTGCCAACGGCATTGAGGAGAAAGTAGAATGTTCCCAGTAGCATAAAATTGAACTGACGAAGTTGATTGTTTATTCATGATCAAAGTAGGCTCTTTCTATATTAAATTTCCATTTTAGTATCTCTAATGCAATGATATTTTCATTTTAAACGATTCTTTATTATGTGGATAATCTGCCAAATTGACTATAAAAGAGATTCAGTTCAATTCTTACGATGTACATTACATTAATGAACACCATCATCACTGCCAGTGAAAACTATAAATATGATTTTTAACGCTTCGCTTGCGAAGCCAATTCCATTATTGCGGCTTTAGTGCTCGGCCAGAGACATGTGGTGTTTGTTTCAACTCTACAGTTAGTTTCTCAGTCTAGTGATTCAAACTCGATCTTCCAGTTGAATTAAATTAACCGTGTAATTAGAACGAATATTGCTCCAAAGTAAAGGAAATCTATAAAGTCAAGTATTTATTTACTTTTCAGGACGGCGCGACAAAGTCCCGCGCGCCTCGAAATAGGCACTCAATGTAGCATGGATACCAAACTACAGGCTTCTGTAGCTTAATCCAATCAAGGATGCTAGCAGCAACTTGTAGCGCACCTCTACGTACAATGTTAGGAGGGTAACTGAGCTCAGATGCCAGGCAGCAGCCAGATACACCAAGATATGTAGTCTTGCCGCTGTAATTTTCTACGGTCTATTTAGTGAAGGAACTCCACCCCCCGCCTCCCATTAAAGCCCGGCCATCTGCGTCAATATTGCCGTACATGGATCGAAGTAGTATCGTTGGAAAGCTCAGAATGTCAGCATCAAGATGAGACTAAGCATGTAACTGCAGCACAACTCAAGTAGAAACTATATTCAAAGATTTCAGCAGCTAATTACTTTATATCTAATTACTTAAAGAACTCTCCCACCCGCTTCCCTTTAAAGAGACGTCATGAACGTAAATATTGGCGTAGAGCGATGGCAGTGGTACCATTGGAAAGAGCAGAATTCCAGCTTTCAGATGAGCACAAAAACCGGAAAACGCCAAAATTGAAAATTTTAGGGTAGTCGGTCCCCTTAAAGGAAATCTATAAAGTCAAGTATTTATTTTAGGTAAAAACAGTATAGTCCCAAAGTCGAATTCACACTGCTGTGAAATGAAATTCAAGGAGAGAATTTTTTATTAAATATTCATTTGTAACTTATCGTCATGAGTATCTCTACTAAATCTAATAAATACGATTCCCAGATAAATTGTATGGTCAAAACGAAGCGCGGTCCTAAATTTGCTAGTTTAATAACGCGCTAAAGAGAGTCTAAGGACCTTTGAGCAGAAGCTGCCGCATGCCCAAATTCTGATAGGGTTAGTGGAGTGTTCATGATCAAAGATCAAATTAGTTAAAATTGATACGATTACAATATCAGCATAACTGGATCGCAATTCGTCCGTTAATTTACATTGACCCTGTTGCGAGCTCGATGTAAGTACAACATCTTCTGCTCACAGAATGCTCTTTAATATATCATTCATGTAGCTCAATTGAGCGGTTAGCAGTAATAAAGTTTGCGTGGCGTTGCTGAATGCCAGCAATAATTCCAAGACATTTGAGTTCCACAGGTCAAGATGATGCATGGAATCACATGTGCGTTTCTGAAAGTAAGTCGAGTTCTTATGAACGGATACTAAAATGCATCAAAGATACTTGCTATTTATAATTTCTTGCACCATCATTGACTATTACACCGCAGTGTTTACAGAAGTGACATGTTTAAATTAATTAAATGGTAGTTGTGTTTGGGTAGGTTATTCTTAAAGTTCACTCAAATTTCTCTTTTCTCGCATGCTAGTTATTATAAGCGACGGCAAGAAAATAGCTATAGAATTGCTCCTTTCATAATAAATCTGACCTTTTAGTGCATCTATGCAATGACAATAAAATTTTAAAATGTCCTTTCATTGATGGATAATCACTCACAGTCACTTATATATAAGAGGATGGGGAGTGTTGCGCAATTTCAGCTCAGTTCGTTTCTGACGCTGTTAAAACGCATTGCAATTTTGTGAATCAGCAGAAATTCCGAACAATATTCCTTGCACGAACAAATTATCGGAAGCGAAGCATTCGAAAAATTTCAATTCGGCTCCAGTACATCGGGCTAGAGGAAATGGGTAACTTGATATTAGGTTTAATCACTTTATTTCTTGGGGTTACCACACAATCGAGTTTTACAGGTGATTCAAATCAATCCAACGTAACAGTTCGAAATACGGTGAAAAATCTGGCAAATTTCGAAAGAGAAAATTCATTCGATTTTACACTGAACAAAGAAAAGAATGTTCTTAATCATTTGGATTACATCCAGCATCATGCTTTGTTGAACTATCGTGGCAATTTGAATGCCTCTATAGTTAAAGCAAATGATATGTTGGATATGGACACAAATGAGAAACAGAAGAACACCACAATCACTGCACGTGATGAATTTGACTGTGATTACTTCGATGACAAAGAAGATATCATTAGCGACGATAATGACGAAGAAGAAGAAGAAGAGGAACAAGAAGAAGAAGAAGAAAGAGAGGAACAAGAAGAAGAAGCAAAAACTGCTGCCTGGACCTCTGCTTTCGCCGGAGTCATGCACGCAGAGCTCGGCCTGAGGCACGCGGTGATCGTCGCGCCTCTACACCACGTCTCTGCTTCCAGTGAGTCCAGCGCGTGCTCTCTGTTGAAGCCAGTCTCTGGTTTGAGTAAATTCACTGTGTTATTGGATTAAATATTTTATCGAATACAAGTATATAAATAAAATCAGATCCTAGCTCTAACGAAATTAATGAAGTCCCAAATTCGAATTCCCACTGAGCAAAAAGAATCAAATTCAGTGTGAATGCTATCTAAAAAATATATCTGTCTCTTAATCACATAAGACCATTCATTGAATCTAATGCATAAAATTTCCATCTGATTTGTATAAATTGTCTAAACCTGACAAATAAATTAATAAATGTATTTGTCTAAACCTGACAAATAAATTATTTTTCTTAAGGGAGCAATTAAGTAATTTTAAATGAACACTCAAGTCTATTCCTGCAGCTTTGAAATATTTACTTTCTAACTATCAGAGACAACTTTCGTTTATAATACTCGGTTAATTTAAACCAGTTACTACTAACACTTGATCTGTTAAAAATATATATTGGATTTGTCCTACAATTTCCCTTTTTGTTTTTTTACCTTCAGTTATGGAGTCTCTCCAGCGCTCGCTCTAAAATGTATCTTCAAAATTATCTAGAATGCGTTTTGTGTACCGCAGAAATACCCCGAGTCGGCCAGAGCGCGATTCCAACATGCCGTTCTGACATCCCGAGGAAACTACTCTCTGAGGACAGTTCTGTATTGGCCGAGGGATGCGTTAACCTCACCAATCAGAGGTAGGGAGCGAGACCCTCTTAGCTAATATTAAATGAAGTTGGTGAAGAAAGTTGTAGTTAAATATTATGCAAGTATTAAAGCTTGAGATCCGAGATAAGATCTTTTGAATTCCATGCAATGGTTGACGGTAAAACTTCTACACTTGATACAAATGATGCATTAACTGATAATGCTTGTTCTTGGACTATTACTTTTCCCTCTTCGTAGTCGACGACGGACCTCTCATGCCAAGTCTCACTGAACTACAAGGAGTGCCCCTAAAAATTGCCATCGCTCAGGTACTACAGAAAAACGAGCTAATCATAAATCGGATACAGTTCATAATAACATTCATTAAACACTGCTTGATCAATTTCTTATCAACTCATGTACATTATTGTTCACCGATCACTCTCATATTTCTGCTTGTGTGGCAGGGCCAGAGAGAGGTTGGCCTGGTTACTTCGTCGCCAAAACAAGACCGTCTGGGAGGTTACCTGGGTAGCCTCATCCATCTTATTGCTGACTCAGCAAACTTTTCACCGCGCGTCGTTCAGGACAAGAGTGTCGGCAAACGCCTCGACAATGGCAGCTTTACTGGCGTTATCGGGCGCTTGCAAAGACGAGTATGTTTAAACAGCCCCGTGTTTATTAAGAAACTATTAGAATCAAGTTTTACCCAATATTTTTGATTAAATTATTCTACTGCCAGCGTTGAAGGGAGTGTTGCGAGTACGTCGAAAGCTGCTCTGGTAACAATTCTTCAATTGACCCAAATCTCGGACCCATGCGACAATATGGAAATGAGTTGACATTATGGTTACAACATATGGGCCCTACATTGCTGCTATATCACTCTGAATTTGTATGATATTGCCGTGTGGCTGCGATATTGTACACATAAAGCATAACCAGTAAAGAAATCAGTGGTGTTGGGCCAATATGGCGTTCATGTGGCAAAATAACATGACACTGGAAATCCATGTTGGGATTGATGTTGATGCATTAAACAACTTACAGAGCTCTGGCAATAAAAACCTATTGGACAACAAATATTTTAGTTCACAAAATTTCCTTAAACTCGAAAATTGCTGTTGATCTTGTATAACAATTCGGCCACTTGTGTAATGGTCATCGAATAATTCAATCGCATTCCGTGAATATTAATTTGAAATAATCGGATACTTTCGTTTTTGAAACCATTAAAGAATTATGGTTTTATTATAGAGTATATATTATTATACACATTTTTGCCATCAAATCACCACTGAAAATTCCAAGTTAAGCTTCACTTTGATGAATCCACTTGCTATGATATATGTGGAATCGAGATTTATTCGGAACAACGGCGTGAAAGCAGTGATCATCAGGTAGTGCTACTCTCGAGCATTAAGTCTTTGTTAGGTGATATCCTAGCCAGCACGAATTTTTGGCCAACGGGTGGTTCTTAGGCGGCCGTTGAATGGCCAGTGGTCGGCTGGAGCTACTTGGCCTCGCCGATGGCTTGCCATCTCTTATCACAGACCGAGTGGCTCACTGCAAGAGCCCTCGTGCGGTGCCAGCTGAGTATTTTACGGCCTCCGCCTCCCCACATTCCTTCCACGCCTTCATGGGAAATGTTTGTATTCGGTATTTTCAGTACACATGGTAGCATGATCGTTTGGATCGAGTTTTTTTTGTTTTAAAAAATGTCTACAACAAGCAGACTGATCAAGAAATGTCGGGTGTTCCAATCAGGGGGGAATAAAGAGCATGACCAATAATTGACCTCTCAAAAAAGTGAAGAGGTCGAACAATTCATGAACATTAATATTTAAAGTTGCTTGAAATTTTCCTCCATCAAAATTCTTTTCACATAAAGTTTACATATTTATGTTACTGTCCACAGAGTGAAAGTAATTAAGAGGAAAAGCATTGAGAAATTTAGAATATTATCTCGTTTACGAGTGGAGTTAATGTAGAGAAATTCGTTTAGAAATTTCTTAGCAACCAGGTAAGCTTGTTCGAGGTTTAGCGGCTCTTAATACCCCCTGCTTTTTAAATATCTTGAAAATGGCTTCAAAATTTTGCTGTGAATCCATTCCTGTTTGAATATATCTGGGCGAGACCAGGTTGTACGAAAATTGTGAATGCTAATCATATCGGCATATGCCTCATGTCTGCCTAGTTGTCCCAAACACCGAAGATACTGTAAGGAATAACATTTGCCAAATCACCCAGGAGGTGGACATAGGCCTGGCGTCATTCACCGTCTTGTTGAGGCGAGTGCCTGCGATGGATTTCACCGCGTATTTGCGGCGCAAGACGACGCGCTTCATTACAAAGGTGCCCGCCTACAAACGAGATCCCTTCATCTTGATAAACGTCTTCAAGATAGAGGTGAGTGTGGAATGTCGTTGTTCGAATTTCTAGTTCATGGTCGATGTACATGAACACTTCATAGACGTCGGTAGCCACAATCGTACAAATCAAGTTATTCCAATCAGGGGTGGTCCCTGCGTTTTGACGAACCGCCATGTAATAAAATTGCGTTGAGTGAAATGTTTTGTAATGCAAAATCAATATGTTCAGTGAAATGAAAAAAAATATATATATTGAAAGTGGAAGCACTGAATAGTTGCTGTAAGACTGTCTCGTTAACTAATTAATTTCGTATCAGACATGGCTGACGATGATTTTCTTCACCGGTTTCGGTTTCGTAATGCTGGCGATTCTTCTGGGCCCCTGCGGCGAATCAGAATTCTCAACAGAGGCGGAGACGACGTATGGAATGGAATATAAGAACATCAATCGTGGAAAAGAAATCATAGATTTGCCTCTGATTGAGGGGGACAGATCCGCGATTTTATATGCCAACGAAAAAATTATCGGAGAAAATGAGCGGGATTTTCAGGCGGATTGCCAGAAAGACTACGGCTTTCGTGATGAGCTCGGAGAAAATGTTCAAACTGGCGAAAACTTCCGCGATAATGAAGAGATGATTTACAATGGATTACCAAATACTCATCGTCAAAAGGAAGAAAGAAACGATTCATATCATCTCTCTCAAAAGGCTAAAATCTTAGCAATTTTCAGAAAAGTCACGCATTATTTCAACTGGGAAAAAGCAGGAGTGTTGTTGAAGACCATCACGTTACAGAGTAAGCGTTCGCAGATTCAAAGCTTGTATTGAATGATTGAATTTCCAGTTGAATTTCATGTTGAATAAAGAACTAACTTCTATCCCTGAACATTTAAATTTCGGCAAGAAATCGTTGTCATCCTCTCAGCACAGAATTATTGATACCCTCTGCTCCTCCTGACTGTTATCAATGGATCACATTTGTCTGCCCTCGAGCTGCTGTAGTTCACGTGTTTGCATACCCATTCATGTGCGTCACCCTAATCTGTAAGATGTTTCTTATATAACGTGGAGGGCACCTGCACCACCGAACAACAATGCTGCAACAGACTTGGCACACTTAACTCCACCAACTTCCATGCCTCACCAGATGTGGCACACCTGATCTCACCAACTTTAATGGTTGGGAATACCTAACCTCAAAAACTTTCATATCTCACTCGGTTTAGCACACACAACTCCACAAGCATTCATGCCTCACCAGATGTTTCGCACATAATCTCCCCAACTTTCATACCCCACTATATTTGTCACACCTAATTCCACAAAATTCATGCTTCACAAAATGTGTCACCCCTCAATCTCGCCAACTTTCACGGCCCACCAGGTTTGGCAAACCTAACCTCAGAAACTTTCATACCCCACCTGGTTTGACAAACCTAACCTCACTAACGCTCGTGCCCCACCAGATGTATCACACCAAACCTCCGAAACTTTCATCCCCACAAGGTTTGGAGCACCTAAACACAGAAACTTTTATGCCCCACCAGGTTTTGCACACCTAACCCAACAAACTTATCTGACCTAACCAGACATACGTATCTAGCTCACCAGATTTGGCACACTTAACCCCATAAACGTATTTACTCCATCTACCCCACCAAGTTTTGCACACCTAGCCTCTTAACCGTATCTATCCTTCTAGAAACAGGGAACTGGCCCCTCCGTCGCCCCGCACGCGTCTTGCTGCTATTCACCTCCTTCCTCGGCATGTTGTTGACGGCGAGCTACGCAGGCAGCCTGGTAGCCTACCTTTCGGTACCGCGCATGGAGCCTGTACCTGAAACCTTGCATCAGCTCAAACGCATGGACTACACCATCATACTCAATGCTGCATCGAATGAAATCGAAAATATTTTTGTGAGTCTCATCACGATTAATCTGTCATCTCTTGATAAGTCACCGTTCGATCCTTTTTAGATGCCTGGATGAGTGGCATTTCGATCCCTGATTGATGCCTGCATAAGCTGCATTTTAATCCCTTATTGACGCTTGGATGTGGAATATCCTGTTAACAGGAAACGACTCAGAGTGACCAATTGAAGCTAAGAGACAACGCGGTGGTGCTGAACGAGACGGCCGATACTGTACAGTATCTTCTCAAGAACAGCCGTACAGCCATCATAGGTCAGCTTTCAATCTATTTATGTTACTTTAATTTGTCTGTCACCCTTCGTCTCAATGAGGTCCGTAATTAATATGTATAAGTAAACCTCTCCCACAATTTTCCAGCAGGACTTGCGGCTGGTCTCTATGATTCAACATGAAATATCTTGCAAACTAACGAACGTAGCTCGATAAAACTTTGCACGTGCGTTTTATAAGGACCTAACAATGATATTTAGGTCATGATAAATTTTTTTTTCGCCTTCGTTCGCGTCGTATAAGACCATACGTAATTTTTATGAAGCATCATTACGCTTTTCAAGTTTACTCACGTCGCAAACGATGACTAAATCAAAAAAATATCACGGCCTAAACATCATTGTTAGGTTCTAATGAATGCATGTGCTTCATCGAGCTCATTTTATTAGTTTGGAAGATATTTCATGTTCACGGTAAATTTGCCTATCAGCCACAGAAATGCAGGCGATTCGCGAACATAGCCTTGATTGAAAAATTTTGCGCTACCTAAACATCAGCGTAGGGTGATAAGGAATGCATTTTCAAGGTTACGTTCGAATCTGTTCTGTAGTTAAGAAACTATTTTATGTTAGATGTGAATTTCGGTTCGTATGAGTAACCGAAAGGAGGGCGAAATAATAAAAAAGAAATCACGACCTGAACATCACCCCTAGGTCCAAATGAATACGTGTTCTAAGTTTCATCGAGCTGCATTCATAAGTTTTGAGATAATTCATGTTCACTGAATCATCGAAACCGGCCGCAATTTGTCCGAGAGGTTATAAGTAATTTTTTTTAAAGGCCTCCCACATTCACCATTCCAACAAAAAGGAATTAATTTTATTAATTAAAAGCAGGGAATGGTTTCATGTCAATGATCAGGGCCCCGACCTTAACGCCTCTGATGAGTACCTGAAACCTTGCATCAGCTCAACCGCATGGGCTACACCATCATACTCAATGCTGCATCAAATGAAATCGAAAATATTTTGGTGAGTCTCATCACGATTAATCTGTCATCTTTTGATAAGTCACCGTTCGATCCTTTTTAGATGAGTTCGATGCCTGGATGAGTTTCGACCCCTTATTGATGCCTGCATAAGCTGTATTTTAATCCCTTATTGACGCCTGGATGTGGAATATCCTATTTACAGGAAACAACTCAGAGTGACCTATCGAAGCTAAGAGACAACGCGGTGGTAGTGAACGAGACGGCCGATACTGTGCAGTATCTTCTCAAGAACAGCCGTACAGCCATCATAGGTCAGCTTTCAGTCTATTTATGTTACTTTAATTTGTCTGTCACCCTTCGTCTCAATGACAGGTCCGTAATTAATATGTAAAAGTACAATTCTCCCACAATTCTCATATATTCTCCCACAATTCTATTGTGGGAGAATATTTCTAATATTCTTCCAAAAATCGCAAATATTCTCCCACAATTCTCCAGCAGGACTTACGGCCGGTCTCTATAATTCAACATGAAATATCTTGCAAACTAACGAACGAAGCTCGATAAAACTTTGCACGTGCATTTATAAGGACCTAACAATGATGTTTAGGCCATGATAAATTTTTTATTTCGCCTTCGTTCGCGTCGTATTAGACTATACGCGGACCATACGTAATTCTTATGCAGCATCATTACGCTTTTCAAGTTTACTCACGTCGCAAACGCTGACTAAATCGAAAAAATATCACGACCTAAACATTATTGTTAGGTTCTAATGAATGCATGTGTTTCGTCGATCTCATTTTATTAGTTTGGAAGATATTTCATGTTCACCGCAAATTTGACTATCAGCCACAGAAATGCAGGCGATTCGTGAACATAGCCTTAATTGAAAAATTTTGCGCTACCTAAACATCAGCGTAGGGTGATAAGGAATGCATTTCCAAGGTTACGTTCGAATCTGTTCTGTAGTTAAGAAACTATTTTATGTTAGATGTGAATTTCGGTTCGTATGAGTGACCGAAAGGAGGGCGAAATAATAAAAAAGAAATCACGACCTGAACATCACCCATACTAAGTTTCATCGAGCTGCATTCATAAGTTATGAGATAATTCATGTTCACTGAATCATCGAAACCGGCCGCAATTTGTCCGAGAGGTCATAAGAAACTTGTCAGTGAACCATTTCAATATAACAACTTAACTGCTGACTCAAACTCACATGTAGAACATAATAATTATTTTTAACGGGCTTGATGCAAGTAGTCAATGGTTTTAACTTGTCACAGAGTGGGACTTGTAGAAACCCTATCGATAAACAGCTCAATAGACCTTTTCCTTCAGCGATATCAATGCACCGCTTCGCATGCCGTTACTTAACTCTCATAGCAGCCCCAAGTGATGAAAATCTTTGAAAAACTTTAGTAGCTTACTTTAATGAATGATACCCAAAAAAGTTGGCAAATTTGAACTCCCAATATCCTTACCAACGCAGAATGAGCTGCTTGTTTATTATTGATTCTTGATTCTCATTGTGCGCTCATTTAAATTGAGAACCTTATAATACACCTTTTAGTAAAACGATTGCTGTCATCATTTCTATCTATAGATAATAGATAATGATGAAATGATACATCATTATGTTATTAGATTCATTGAAATGATTGCAGCAATCATTGAAGGTTAAATAAGAACACTTGTGTAATTTCTTAAAAGTGAATTCTTATTGTGCGCTCATTTAAATTGAGAACCTTATAATTCACCTATTTAGTAAAACGACTGCTGTCATCGTTTCTATCCATAGATAATAGATGATGATGAAATGATACATCATAATGTTATTAGATTCATTGAAATGATTGCAGCAATCATTGAAGATTAAATAAGAACACTTGTGTAATTTCTTAAAAGTGGTCCCAGAAAATTATAGAGAATTGGAGATGACTTGCCATTTGCAGATTATGTCGATGTCGTGCGGCTCTTTCTATCGCATTGTCGATGCAGATGAGAACATAATTCTATTTTATGCATAATGGGAAGACAATGAAAATGACTTGGATCAACCCTGATAATATGATCAACAATTTTAAAAAAATGCCTGCCTATATCAAAAATAGTTTGATTAGAGGACGATATGCTAGTGGATGACTATATAACCTAAGACTGATAAATCCAATTACGGCAGATGATTATGGTCACGTACACCTGCTCATCGAGTCAATTGTATTCTGAAAATAACTAAGACAAAATGAATTCAATACATTTACATTTTATACAAGTTACATTTTAATAATTTTCTTTGTGATTTATGAGTTATTTCTCTTTCTTTTGGTTAAAAATAAACTAGCTCACTAAGGCAAATTTATGAGGAGATTACTCCTAACTGAAAACAAGGTCCCTATGAACAACCAACTGTTCAAAAAAATAGTTACAAAAAAGGACTAATGTTTACTCGAAGCGAGTTTTCCATGCTTGGTGTTAGCTGTAACATTTTATTGTAGCCACTTCACTGATGCTATTATACGTAATAATTATCAAGAAGGAAAGAAAAATTAAATTTTCGCCCAAACACTATAGATGACATTTCGAACTTCGGCTCCATCTTTAGTTCGAACTGTCGTCGGGGCTTGATTAGAAGTTCCGATGTATTAAACGTTCCCTTTGAAGAAATGATAAATTTTTGTTGCTCGTTGCTGTTCCCTTTGAAGAAACGATAAATTTTTGTTGTCCTTTCTTCGCTTTTAATATACAATTTTGATTTGTGGCTGCCCAGCCGTCTAGACTCCCATGAGTCACCTGTTGAACCTTGAGGAGCTGACACTCTTCAAGATGACACTAATGTGGTCTTGAAACACTTCAAGACCACGTATTGCATGTACAATGATAACGATCAGCTCTAATGAAATTTGATGTTTCCGAATATACACTTGATTATAAAATTAGTTTTCAAATTATGTTTTCTTTAAGTAATGGCTTCAACCTTTCTAAGGCATTTTCTCCCTCAGTTTGATGGGCTATTTTTACATAAAATGAACTTATATAGAGATCGCGTGTTTTCTTATTATTTAAAGTTGTCAGCTAAATTACCTTAAATTATTCCAGCGAACGGTATTGATATCCCAGCCACCATCAGCCAGACTGCGAAGGCAGGTAAGGAATGTATACGGAATTATGAAGGCATTAATTGCAAACGACTTAAGTGAAGTTATGAGGTTGAATCAAATACCCTGAAATATTAGTCGTAAACCTATGTTAACACCTTCATGATACTCAATTTCAAAAGTTGCGTAAAATATTCACGACTATCATTTTTTCACACATTTTTCCGTAAAATCATAACGACTTATTAGAGAACAGGTTCATTTACGCACGGTTTCTCAGTTTATGAAGGGGATGATTCCGTGGTGGCTCTCAACGGCACAGTCCGTAAACAATGCCTTTTGAAATCTTCACGAGAAAACTTCATGTTCGAGTTCTCCAGCTTGGGGCTCACCAAAAACAGCTTGCTGAGCAACATAATCAACAGCAGGTGATAGTGCGTGAATAACTTAAGGATGATTATCTCAACGCGGATAGAGATTTTTATTAATGTCAATTTGAGTTCATAATATGAAGTTCCAACATAACTTTAAGAAATAATGTATGCGATGAAATAAATTTTTAATTATCATATTCAACTTTAACGGTAACTTATGAAAAGTATAGAAAATTTTGGAGTCTACTTAATGAGGGACTTTGAAATGGCTACTTTGAAATATTCTAATTTAAGTTTCTGTAATCCGATCTCCTGAAGCAACGAATAACCTTACATTGCTTCAACTCTCAGAATTCAGCAGTTGCGAGT